TTGATAGACTTCCTGCAGAACTTTTTAAGCACGGAGGTAATGAACTCTTCAAGCTCCTTCACAACTTATTGGTGAGTATATGGACTGAGGAAATAATGCCTTTAGACTGGAAGAAGACATATGCCCAATCCACAAGAAAGGAAACCTATTGAAATGCTCTGATTATCGCGCTATTACTCTGTTCCCGTGCGCATATAAAATTCTATCAAATATCCATAGACAACGCAGTTTGCGGACGCATTACGTCAGTTCAACATCCCCTCTAAGCTTATCAGGCTGACCACGTTAACAATGGACGATGTGGTTTTCTTCGTGAAGGGGAGTAAGTCAGGGTGATGCTCTGGCATGCCTCCTCTTTCTCTTGGCCCTAGAAAAAGCAGTTCGTTAGTCCAAAATACAAACATCTGGCTCGATCTTCAATAGGACTGTTTAGCTCCTCGCTTTTAACGACGATGAAAGGAAATGAAAATGAAATGAAAAAATAATTTTATTCTGGGACTACTGTCCCCTAAGAATAATAACAGGGTTACAAATTTATATATCTTAGTCTGACATAATAAAAATACCAACTAATTTATTGTTAATTGTTATTTCAATTGTGCAATGGATTGAAATTAAACATTGTATAGATGCAAGTAATTTTACATGTTAGCGGAAGTTTGAATGTGCAGTAGGTGTTGGAACAGGAGTTGTTTGAAGGAATTTGTTGATGAGGATTGACGCATGGGGGTAGGAAGTGAGTTCCATAAGGAAGCAGCACGAATGACGAAGGATTTACTGAAGGAGGAAGTTTTATGGGAGGGAATATATAAGTCTATAGGTTGAGATCTAGTATTGAGAGAGTGGATAGAGGAGCGCAGAGCAAGGAGTTCCAGGATGTAGGGAGGGTTTTTAGTTCTGAAGACTTGGAAAAGGAAAACGCCAAGAAGGAATTGTCGTCGGGAAGTAGGATAAAGCCACTTCAACTCGGTGTACCTTAGTGAAACATGTGAACGTCTGGGGATCCCGAAAATGAATCTTATCAAACAATTCATGAGTCTTTTTAGTCTCAATTCCAGCCTGGCAGATAGCCCTCCATACTCCAAGCAGCCGTAGTCGAAGTGGGGGAATACAAGGGAGGTTACAAGGAGCTGTCTGGTTTTTATAGGAATACAATCACGGGATCTTAGGAGTTGTTTAAGGGCAGTTATGGATTTTCGGGTAATCTGGGAGATATGATTATCCCAGGAGAGGTTCTGGTCAAAGGTTACTACTAGGTTTTTGACTGTAGGGAAAAAATGGATGGGGTGGTTATTAAGGTAAAATAGAGGAAAATAAGGAAGGGAGCTGATGAGATTTCTGGACCCGATGATAATTGCCTTGGTTTTATCTGCATTCAGCTTTAATTCATTTATTTCTGCTCATCTGTTGATGCAGTCGATGTCCTCTTGTAACCTCCGGGCAGCCTCAGGCATCTCAGAAGGTTGGAATGATTGGTATATTTGGAAACCATCGGCATATAGGTGGTAATTGGAGTGTTGAATGGCGTTAGGAAGGTCACTAATATAGATGGAGAAAAGGCTCGGGGAGAGTGAGGAACCCTAAGGAACACCTCGCGTTAATATAGACATTATTGGACGTTCTCAGCAAGCGGTTACACAATCATTTCTGGACCTGGAGGCTGCATGGAGGAAACTCGGCCTGACTGTCAACGAGGAAAAAACGAGATCCTTGGCAACCCAGGAAACACCGGGACATAACGCTGGTGTGAGTTTTGGACCCTTCAGGTTTCAACAGGTATTAGAATTCACATACCTGGGCTCGCAGATCACTGTTGATAACCGGATGGATACAGAGATAAATAAAAAGAAAATTATGGCCAACCGTTGCTATTATGATATGAGTCAACATATGAAAAGCGTTCTGGTTACTGAGCGTAGCAAAATAATACTCTATAAGATAAGACTCTTATCAGACCGGTTTTAAGTTATGCATCAGAAACCTGGGCGATAACCAAGGCAGCCCAACAGAGCCTCAAGATGGAAGGACAGATACCAGCTAGGAGTTCGATACTGGATGGTGGCAGCAAAAATTTTCGAATCTGTTTTCAATGGAAATATATGAGTCGAAATAACCAATTCCGTAAAATGGTCCCTACGAATGTGTTTGTTAACAGTCCAACTCATAAACGAAAAGTCATACGAAAGTGAAATTTCATATATGAGGTTTTTCTATTCTTGGAATGTTACAGCAACGTTTTCATCAAAATTGGATAGTCGAAAGTGGCACTTTATATCTGAATAAACATATTTTCACGACTTTCTCGATAATGAATCTAACGATTTTGATTAAATTCATCATATCAGTGTAAAATTAATCAGTTTTAAATATGTAGGTTTCATTCTGGTTCATGTTCTCTAACAGTGCTTAAATGGCTAATTTTCAATATTAGCTTTCCCTAAAGTACCTTTTATTATTTTTATTTGGAAAATTGACTATTTCACATTAATCTATAATATATAAGATAGTTAAATAGAAAATATGAAAGAATTTGTTGATTAACTAAAGGAGAAATAAGAGATCGTAAAGCAGAATAGTTGTAAATGAGGAACCAATGGAATACGAGCTCACCCGAGGTCACCCGAGCTCGCCCGAAACATTAGAAAAAGGTTCCATAGTTATCATGAGCTAAATATAGTAAATATACATAGGCGGTTGCTATGTTTTAGGGGAATTCAAACTTATTCGGGATGCCACTGGATAATTACTGATGATAATTACCCAGAAATGATTAATAAAAAATTAGTAGAATAAATTTGTATCTATAATATATTGATTGGCCCAGAATTAATTAACTAAATTACTTTTCTCAAAGGCTGGTTTGTATTTATCATGTTTTCTAATTACACACATTACCTTTGATCATCATTATATAAATAGGTGGCAGAATTGAAATAACTTTTACTGAAAAAGCTAATTTATTTCTATGTTTAACAAAGACTATATATTTACAAGAACAAAATGCTTGATTCAATGAATTTAATAATTAATTGTGAAGCCATGATTTCAGATGGACTGTTTTGTGAATTTATATTGAAATGAAATATTACAACATTATGGTTGGGAATTAAAACTTAGCCGTCATGGTATATAAAGTAGTGTAGGTACTAGATTTCATCGCTGCATATGTTGATCTGATGCATAAGACCATCTCGTCATGGTTCAAAGCTCTGCCAGGATCATCATGGTCTATGTAGGGCCAAGGCCTCAGTCCCCAAGCCGGAAGAAAATATAAGACCTATCCTCCAGGACGAAAGTCCACATAAGACCTCTTCCCTTACTTCCCGGCGTATTTAGGGTAGGGCAAGCTTGGTTTTTATTGGTTCTTAACTTCACAATAACTGGTAACACCATAAAAGGAACCAGTTACTTAGCCAGTTACTAGTTTTTACCCCAAGCCTTCTCCAGGAGTCCAGGTATAGGTCGGTCCTTGCAGGTTCCAGGTACCTGATGTATTTGGTGTTAGGATATTCCAACTTTTGTTTTCTAAACCTCAATAATTTAAAAAACTTATGAAATGTTCAATACATAGCACGGTTTTCATAAATGCTATTGTTGGTATTATTTAATACTAGTAGGGCCGTGCGTAAAATTCGCACATCATATAGTTATCAAATAAAAAATTAATAAGAAAATAAATAAAAATTCAAAGGATTAAGACATCAAATGTTACTTTGTCGATAAATATAATCCACAAAGCAAACAAAAATTAATTTAAATCTTCATTTTTGTTTGGAACCAACATGTTTCCAAATTTCAGTAAGCTGTGCCTTTGCTAAAAATTGTCCGATTTCGATGATTTTTTCCTTTTGTAGGGAATTCAGTAATCTTTTATATAATCATGGGTATAACTAAGGAAAAAGTGTGTAATTTTTCAGTTATTCGCAAATAAAGTTTATTTTCTTTCATAACTTGTTTGCCTGAATTTTCTAGGTGATTGGACTATTTTGACAGCCTGAAGGAGAAGGAAGCCTTCGAAATTGGTGGCTCAGTCTTGAGATTTGATGAAAAATTGACGATGATATGGCTTGCCGATCAAGAACACCATCGATAAATAATATAAACTCCTCCTCTCTCGATCATAGAGACCTCAAGTCGACGAAATGAGAAATGTATTCAATGACAGTACTACAATTAATGTAAGGTTGTGTGGATGCGAACCCTATACCTTGCGTTACCTCGAAAATAGTACGTTTTGGGGGTTAATAACGGAGGATCCGATAGTTCCGTAGGAACTATCCGGGTCTTGCTGTACGCATCAAAATTTTCAAGATCCAATTTGTCCCGAATCGATCCACTGACCTACCACCATTCCAGTATTGAAGCCTAGGAAAATGTTTGTATCGACTTTATTTATTTTAGAAAAAAAAACAAAAGTGGAGAATACGATTCGCTAACCCCCCGTGAAATTCTGAATCCAACGGTACCCCATTCATGGTATTTGAGCATGACAGGAGCTTATATCTGGTACAAAACCGATTTCGAGCCTTACTGTAATAATATATGTACGGATTTAATTGTATAGATTACAGCTATAAAAATATTAAAATTTATATATATAAGTGTACTTATAAAAATTAAAATTCCCAAAATGGAATATAAAACAACATGGCATTTATAATTTTTACTTTCAATTCTGCTTTGTATGAAAAAACTTATTTCTGTTAACAAGAGGTTGGCAAGTGAAAGTTGTGCGATGCGCGTACAGCTTAGGTCAGAATATCATTTTAATCCTAATAAATATCCTTTTCCACTATGTTCGATAATTTTACTCGTCCGTCGTATCAATAGAAATGTATTAGACCAAATATATTAAATAATAATTTTTTAAGACAAGTTTTCGCATTCGCTAGGTATTATATCGATAGGTACATCGTACATCAGATGGTGAAAAGATAGGTCCTGATAAGACAAGATACTGTTAGCTATATATATATTGTGGCGACCGGAGCATTGTAGTGGGGATTTGTCTGCAAGCGAATGGACCAGTAGCCATCCAGTTGGCGAGTACGTAGTGGCTCTTGTAGTTCTTGCATTAGTTGTACTTCTAGTTTATCGTGTTTCTTTTGCAAGTAAGCGATGGGAGCAACCTTCAGGCAATACTTTGCATCTACGGCATGTAAGTACCTTAGCGATGAAGGTAATATTTTATTAAGTCAGAAGAAGTAGGGCATTCATTAAAAATAGAAAACAAATTGTGATACTATGTTTTATACAATATAATACGTTATATAATATAATAATAAATATTAAAAATTCGAAATCATGAATTGAAATGACTATTAAGATATTACTAATTTTTATTTAGGTGTTGTATTAAATAATTAATTTGTTTAAACTAATATTTCATTTTTTTAAATTGTATTATTAAAAATAAAATAAAATATTTGATATTGTATATTGGAACAATTGTTAGATGGATATTTAATCAACTGATTTCATATAAATGTTTATTCCTTTTTGACGTTACACATCCTCTTTCATTTTTATAATTACTTGTATGCTTTTCAGTTATAGAAAATAATAAATGCGCATTAATGGTACACTGAAATCATTTTACATCAGTCTTAATAAATAATTCTAAACCTTTTTTACATGAGCACCGATCAGTACAAGCCAGATATCACAAGAGCCACCGCATCGCTTCCCGGCATAGACCAGGCTGTGGAACTGCCACGTGCTCCAAATACAAAAACATACAGAACAAGACAACATCAATAATTATTAACTACAACAATCATTCGTTCCAAATTAAAATATCCAAAATTACATTAAAACAATAAATAAACATATGCGATTTTAAATATTTAACCAAGGAATTAGATAATATTAATCTAAATTACTAGAAGTATATTTAACCAGAAACAATTTTATAAGCTATACAATAATTTTTATCATCTTACAAAAACCTCAGCCTACCTCACAATCATCCTATCTTCTTCAAATATTATCATGTAGTTACACACCGCTAATGATCATAATTTCAAATTATGTGTCAATAAACCTGTAGTAAGATTATGGCTTTATAACAACTACTAATTATGTAAGGAGCATCTCAACGAAAATGTATACCATATTTTAGCAAAATGTCAAACATATGATTTAGTCCGACGGGATGTTGTAGCTCCATTTTTTAAATTTTATAAAAAGCTCTCTTTTCGTCTTTCCTTTTTATTTGAATGCATCCAATGAATTTAAGAAAATATATCATTTTTTCATGCAGTTTGCGGAATTCGCTCACTCTGTATACATAAATGATTAATCTATCACTTACAAAAAAAAAAAAAAAATCTTTCAGGAGATATTTTTTTGTAAATATTTTCATTCATTTTTGGGTGTTAATCCTTCACATCCTGTGTTAAAAAAATAATCGTCCGATTTAGAAAGTGATGTTTTGATTGCTAATAATTGTTGCCGCTGATGAAGTTTAGATTTAAGATTGTAATAAGGAGTGTATGGCTGAAATGTATTATATGCTAAAGAAATGTAAATAAATAAATACAACAAAACATACATCTATTTAATCAACCTGAAAATGCTAAAAATTGCGGCTGAGTATAAAAAAAAAATAAATGAACGTATGAGTCATTCTGCTAATTGAAACGAAATGATGTTTCAAGGATACATTGGCTTATGAGTAAAATTTGGTGAATTCCGATTGATACTGGTCAAAACTAGGCACTTACAGCTTTGAGTTCAATTATATATTTATCTTACGAACAAATTCGTTATCACCATGAAATTTTTAATTCATATCTTCAAAACCTATTTCTTTCTCGTTTGTCATAACACTTTAACTTTGACGGCTTTCTGGTTTATGGTGAACTTAAACCAACCCTTAAACGACCAATGAATCGTTTCGTTAAATTTGTTTTCTGGGTAGCCAGAAATGCTCGTATAACCTAATATTATGTGAAACTAAAGTGGATCTACCCAACTTACAGGTGTATTTCCTACACCAAGTTATCTCTCCTATTACATTACATACTCTGTAATTTAAATCTTCCATCCGTCTCACCTGATTTCGTCCTTCTGACTTCTACTCTCCTCCTCACCGAACTGTTGCTTTTGACAAATCCTTCCAAACTCGAGCTGGAACTCTATCCCGCCCTCCATTAGTAATGCCTCAATGGTCTCCAGGTTCAAATCTCCCATTTTCAACAACTTTTTCCTCAACTAGTCTAATTAATATTATTTTATACTATTAATATGAATAACTTTCTACTATATTTTAAATGTTTTCTAGAATTCTCTCTTATTCTATGTTTCATGTATTTATTACTATTATTTTTTTTTATTAAAGTAGTTTTGTACCCTTAGTCATTTTTAAAAAATTTCCTTTCATTTCAGTCATATTTTCCCTTAATTTTACCCGCATTACTGAACGTAAATCTATTTTTTGTTTAAAATTGTACATCCTCACTGTTTTGGCCATTATGTATTTTTTTTAAATTTTGTTCTAAAGGTACTTTCTCCCAGAATATTGTACCGTTACTTTCTTTTCCATAACCATGCCACTATTTTGTTTTTATTAATACATGTACGCATTACATCTTATTAACTTATATTATTAATTTCAACTATCAATTATACTATTAACTTCTATAAAAAAATTTCAACTTTGCGATTCTCTTCTATGAAGTCAGCATGTTTTGAAAGATTTTATTGTGCCTTTATTATTCTATTTACATTTATTATTTTCTTTATATAACTACATATTTCCTTTCTATGTTTTATATTTTATTTTAAGTCTGTATCACTTCCTTTTAACATACTAAGACATCAACTTTTAGCAACTACGTTATCCCATTTAAGTCCAACAGTTATCAGCTAATATTTCAGTACATAATATTAATAATAAATAATAAAAAGGCTTAGCGAACCCGAAGGTTCGATGCCGACACCACCAATTGCTTATTACACACCTCCCTCCACCGTTCGCCGTCCAAACCCAGTCCCTTCAGATCGGCTTTAATGCAATCTTCCCACCTTCGCTTCGGTCTACCCCTCGGACGCTTACCATTCGGCACAGCAAATATTAACCTTTTAGGAATTCACTCGTTACTAAGCCCAACAACTTTACAAGCCCATTTGATTCGCCGCGATGAAATTATCTCAATTATATTACTCGGATACAGTTCACGCAATTCGGTGTTGTGTAACCGTCTGAACTCTCCGGTTAATCCGAATATTCTACGCAATACTTTATTTTCAAAAACCTTAAGACGCTGCTCATCCCTTAATGTAAGCGGCCAAGTTTCGCACCCATAAAGACCTGTAGGCAAGATAATTGTTTTATAGATTCCAATTTTTAAGTTTCGGGACAAGAGGCGCGAACTAAGTAGTTTTGTCACAGAAAAATAACAAGCATTTCCCGCCTTCAGTCTAACCTTAATTTCTTCTTCAATTTCGTTTTTCCTAGTTATCGTAGAACCTAGATACCTAAACTTATCTACCTGTTGAAACATATTACCGTCTATATCGATATCACCAGTAGTATCGCCATTTTTGCAGCTAAATATTTCAGTACATTTCCTTGTTAATTTATTTTTCATTTCATTATGTTTTTACTATTATTTTATTATTGGTTTTTTCATTACTTCTTAATTTTGTGACAATTATTATTTATTTCATGGTTCCTAACTCTGTTACCGTTATTATTTATTTCATAAGTTCAGCTCCACCGTTCCATAGCGGTATATTAATAGCCTTGAGAAATGACAGTAATAGATCTGACGAAATAAAGTAAATTTAATAAAAGAATATTAATCCTCAAATATATTATTACAGTAAGGCTCGAAATCGGTTTTGTACCAAATAAAAGCTCCTGTCATGCTCAAATACCATGAATGGTTTACCGTTGGATTCAAAATTTAACTGGGGTTAGCGAATCGTACTCTGTGCTTTTGTTTTTCTTTCTAAAATAAATAAAGTCGGTATAAACATTTTGCTAAGAATTAATATTGGAACAGTGGTAAGTCTATAGATCGATATGGTACAAATTGGGCTTTGAATATTTTGATGTGTACAACCAGACCCGATTAAGTTCCTTTTTTTTTTTATTCTAGTGACTTATGGTTTTATAAATACCATGTTCTAGATTAAATCGATTATACTTGTATTAGAACCTAACTGGGAATAATAAATTTAAAATTAGTTCAATAAGCGATTCATTTACATTAATATAAATAGTATATTATCTGATATAAAAGTTCGAATCAGTGGTTACTCGACCCCAAATCAGATAAAGCCTGAATTATACTTTCCTTCCATTTATGCAAACCAATAATATTTAATAATAAATATTATTTTTATTTTCAAAAGGTTATTTGTTGCCATAGTTGAATAGTACCATTGTTCAGCTTCAACTAACAAAGAAGCTGTTCTCTTAGTACGATTTTTTTTTTCACAAATTGTTGCAGCATAATCAACAGGTGTATCCATTGTTTTATTAATAACCATTGATTTTAACAGAATAACAATATTCTATTAATATACAGTCATTGACATTGTGTTTAAGATTGTTACTATTTAAAAATAGCTCCACCTAACTTAAATTAAATTTTCTTAGATTAAAAAAGAACATAATTTATTTATTTTACATAACTGCCTCCCGCAGTGCCACATCCAATGCCCTGAAGACGACCTGCAAAGTGGGTCGAAACGTCGGCAAAAATTAAAATTATTTATATATTTTAATTTTTTTTTTTTTAATTATTTGACCGCACCCTCAACTAACTCCTTCTCATATAATTTATTTTAATTTACATAAAAATTTTATAAAATAAATATGTATTTAATTGCTGTTTTAAAGTTTAGTGCAGTGCGTTAATCGCACAACGGTTTCTTACAATCATCATTAGAGTAAAAATTAATTTAATATAAACTAATAAATAAACTTGTAGAATATTACAACTGCAAATATAATTTCAGAAATGATACAAAATACAATCTTATGCACTATTTATTTTTGGAGTGTCAAACTAAGTTTTAAATGTTTTAATTTAGTTCTATGGAATGTCCATTAAGTGTTTTTAAATAATTTTACAATTACAACACCTACATTACTATTTTTAAATATAGGACTTTATTTTCAAACAAGAAAACTATTTCTTCTTTATTTGATAGTCAAATTGTTTCATACTTCATATTTAGCCATTTTCAATTGCTACGAAGAATAAGAGACTATTCGATATTTTGAATAAACTAAATTATAGATAGTTTGGAAGAGGTCATTAAAGAAATTCGGTATTAAGGTCATGTCACACAATCGCAATGATCTGATATGATCAACCTTTTGATTAACTAAAAAAATTATTAATTTACGTGAGAAAAAAAAACTATTCATGGAAAGAAAACAGAATTTACCGCTTATTCTTCTCTTTGGCAATATCAATCCATTAACTATCGTAAAAAGTTTCTCAGTCTTTGGATTCTCTTTTCCTTCCATTATTTTCAAAGCATATGCCTTTATACTTGATATACGATTGATTATTACGACACACACACACACATATATATATATATATATATATATATATATATATATATAGAGAGAGAGAGAGAGAGAGAGAGAGAGAGAGAGTGTGTGTGTGTGTGAGAGGGAGAGGAGTAAATAGATACACAGATAGGTAGATAGATAGAAAACCAACTTTTTTCTGGGAAAAAGTCCCTTTAGAATAAGAAAATTTTAAAAAAAGAGAAGATTACTGCTGGCTAAAAATTTGAAACAATAAATGAAATTTAAAAGAAAATTAAAGAAAACCTCAAGTTAATAAGCTAAATAAAAAACAGATAAAATTATGTACTCGTACAAAACACTTAGCACTATGACCAAAACACAAAGTACTATAATGGTAGAACAGCATCAATATAAACTTCAAGAAATGAAGAAAGAAAAACAGACAACAAAAAAATAAATTTTTCTCATAAAAAAGCTAAATTTCTGGTTAGAAAAATGAAAGTTTCATCTGTCAATATAAACCTAATTATGTAAATACTGGATAACATGTAAATACATCAAAAGAATAGCATTATCATTAGTTATGCAAGATACGTTTAGGCGTTTAATTGTATATAAGAAAAAATTAGATCAGCGATAAGTAAATTAAAAAAAATATATGTATTGGATGACGTCGAAATTAGAAAATCAATACATATACGATACATGTACTAATAAATAACAGTATTAGTACATATGATGATATGATTGAAATGAAAAACATATATAATATTAATAGTTAGCAGATATCGAACTGTTTAGGAACAGGAATTGGAAAAGGAATAGTTTTTGAATGTGGGTACGGAAGGGGCAAGCCGAATTTTGATAGTGATGGAGTTCTAGAACCTGACAGAGTGGTCAGGAGTTTTAGAGTGAGGCATATCTATGAGAAGGGGTTTTTAGCGCAGAAGATCGAGATCTTGTGTTATGGGAATGGATTGAGGACCTAAATTGTTGAAGGTTATAGGCATAAAAAGGGCGATCATTGTTGATGATTTGATAAAGGAATGTGTCTACTTAAATATTGTCTTCTTAAGGAGGGAAAGAGCCATCCTAACTCAGCGTGGTGATTGGAAACACGAGAGCGTTTCGGGGTCCCAATTAGAAATCTCACGAAGCTATTAGTCTTGTCAGCCTATAGCGGAGCTCCAGCGAGTGGCCATCGTACACCACACAGTGTGAGAGGAAACTAGGAGTCTACGGGTATAATATAATATATATATATATATATATATATATATATATATATATATATATATATATATATATATATATATATATTATATTATACTCCTGATTCATCACACCCAATAGCATATCTATGCAGATGATTTCCAAATATATCTATCCTTCCCGCCCACCGACCTAGTATCAACCACAGAAAAACTTCAAGATGACTTGGATAGGATTTGTGATTGGGCGAGACCGAACAAGTTGAATTTGAATGCGGAAAAGACGAAGGCAATCTTAATAGGCTCCAATCACCTTCTTAAAACTGTTCCTAATATTCCAACTCTGTTACTACATGATAATCCCATCAAATTCTATCCTTCCGTCAAAAACCTTGGAATGATCTTTGATCAAACGCTTTCCTGGAAAAATCATATATTCAACATCTCCCGCCGTAACATTTCCACTTTAAAACGTCTAAATTACTCCCGTCATCTATTTCCCCTTGAAACCCGTAGGCTCCTAGTAACTTCCTTAATTTTTCCCCACTTTGACTATTGCTGTACGGTACATGGGGGCGTCTCTGGGGATCTCGAGGCAAAATTAAAACGTTTGATAAATTGATTTGTACGATTCACTTTCGGGATTCCAAGGGACGACTCTGTTTTCCATTTTTATGCAGAGTTGAAGTGGCTGTATCCTTCCTACCGTCGTATTTCCTGGCATCCTTCCTATTTCAAGTCATCCAATCCCACCATCCTTCATACATCTCCGAGCTCCTTCAATTCAAATCCTCTGTTCCCTCCCGCAATACTCGTTCCTGGTCTTCTGATCTTTTATTATCCAATCCTCATCCCTATGGAACTCCTTCCCTCCGGACATCCGTCAATCCAAAACCTTTCCTACTTTTAAAACCCGCCTGTTCAACCATTTCTTATTCATCCAGCTCCCCTGAAATTGTAAATAGATACTAATGTAATTATGTATATAAATTATTAGTTCGTTCTTCATTATTTTTACTTCATTATTTTTTGTTCTTCAATTTTTTATTATTAACTGATCAAAATTAGAAAGTAACTTATAATTTTTCATTTTTTTACTATGACTGTTTACTTACTCTGTATTTTTATTTATGTAACTCTAAGGCTCCTTAGCCCATATTTATGTCTTTGTGTATTATTCTAAAGGGATTCGTCCTAGAATAAATAAAGCATTATTATTATTATTTTATTTGTCAACACTTTTACAAAAGGTTTTGTTTGTTTACTTGAGAGGGGGAGAATCAACTCCAACCACCTCAGGTATGTTCAATTTTAATTTCTATTGAATGTTGAGAAAGCTTCTTACAATTCTGACAGTATTCAGCAGCACCGCTTTCTGAGCTTCCTTTATTACATGAGTTGGGAGGCCCAGCCTGTCAGTAGCTTCCACAGTAGACACCGGTATCAGGCCATTGCTGGAGATCACAATGCCCCTAACGGTCACTTTATTAAGTTTATACAAACTTTTTAACTCTGCACAGACTGAGTTAATGTTTCCGTCATTTGGCACAGCGATATCTATAATTTCAGCCACCTTAATATTACCGTCAATTAATACAATATCAGGTCTGTTGTGTATCACGAGATGGTCTGTTATGAACGATTGGTTCCAATATAATTTTAAGTCATCTTTCTGGCAAATACCTTTAGGGCAATATTTATAGTAGGGCTTCGAGTCGTTTAATAATTTAATTTTTAGACCAATTGCCTGGTGATAGACTTTGGCAACATCGTCATGTCTTTTTAGGTATTCTGTACCTGCAAGAGCTCCGCAGCCTCCAGTTATGTGTTGAATGGATTCATATGTGCTTGCACAGAGCCTACATTTGTCCGATACATTCTGTTGCTTCAAGACGTGTCGCCAGTAGGATCTGGTAGCTATAACCTGGTCCTGGATTGCAGTTAAAAAACCTTCAGTCTCGGGGAACAGACTTCCTCCTACCAGCCAGCTAACAGACAAAGATTTATCTATTTCAGTCTGCTGAAGCTGGTGAAAAAATCTTCCATGTAATGCTTTTGACTTCCATTCTTCCATGCGGTCTTTGTCGGTAACAAAGATTGGCGCAGTTTCATGAGAGGCTAATTGTAGAGCAGTGTGCCCGCGATCGAGATTGCAGGTTATCTTATGGCAAGGCACTGCGCTTTGTTTAAAGGACTCCCTTAGGTTCTTTTCTTGATTTCGACAAGACTCTTGAATATTTGTAAGACCTCTCCCTCCTTCCTTTCTTGGCAGGTAAAGCCTTGCCATAGATGCAGTCGGGTGGTGCATTCTGGAACCCGTCATACTTGTTCTTATTAACCCATCCAATTCCTGGAATGACGTTGTGGACCATTTTAGAATTCCAAAGCTGTAAGATAAGGAAGGAATAACCGATGTATTTATAGCTTTTATTTGTAGCCCGTGTATTTATTATTATTATTATTATTATTATTATTATATATATATATATATATATATATACATATACCAGCGGTCATAAACCGCATTTTATGATTATTACAATTTTCCATTCTATATTCTAAATTCTACATAACCTCTAATTTTGAGTGGAGTTCAGTTTTTGAATTTTTCGCTCAATCAAATTGTTCATTTTTGAAAATAAAAAAAGCAAAATGCAACATCTTTTGTAAATATTTTATATTCATTCTGTTTTGTAGGTACAATGAGCGTCGCCATCTTAGCTACGTGCTTCAACTGGATGGAACCGCTGATGAATTATTTCATCTCTCCGGAGTCTGAGATCCCGATGACCACTTCCGACAGTTCTTGGCTGGTAGCTTTCGTTGAAATCGGAGAATTACTCGGAACTGTACCAGCTGGTATGCTAGCAGACAGGTGAGTAGCCAAACCAACATTGTGTTAATATGTCATTAATACGTTCGATGGAGTGAAACAGTCAGAACATATCTAACAAAAGTATTACTTCTCACTATAGAAATGTTTGTATTCCTGCAGGACATAAAGAATATTATCCGCAAAATCCGAAATTGCAACTCGTATTTTTTTTTTTTTTTTGGACACAAGTGACCTAATTCGATTCCATGCAAAAAGTTTACAAAGATTTCTTAGTTTCGTTCAGAAGTGGAAAACATCCAACTATTTTGAATTTATGTAGAGTTCAACTTTATCAACAATCCATTATAGGTATTAATCTTAATATGGGATTGATTTTGTAATTTTATTATTTTTAAAAATTACTTTTTTTGCTTCCTCGCTACTAAGTTATGTATTCGTTCGGGAGGTTGAAATTTATTTGTTCGAATTCGAAAATTTTTACCAGAACTGTAGCTACTTATTTCTTACCAACTATAACAAGTCTTGATTTTCGTTTCAAAATAAATAAAATAAAACTTATCCAGTTCCGCTTCGTCAATATTTGAATCCTTTTGTTTTGAAATCTCTCAATAAAATTCCCTTTCGTTTAACTTTTTATTCATCAAAATCCATCGCTGCAGGGAGACTGAAAAGTGGTCTGCCTTATTATATATAACTAGTTGGCCCAAGTAAAAAACTCGCAGAAAATTTTGTTTTGTGAAGAAATAGCAAAACAATACGGAAATAAGTAGTTCCTATGTATTATGTAAGGAAGGAATTAATATTTTTTCCCTAGTCGGTTACAATATTCCATTAAACATCATGGACTAAAATATTTATACAAATTGCTTTGCTAGGATCTATTTATAAAAGCTTACTGAAAAGATATTAAAAGTAATATGGACAAAATAATGGGTGACTATCATGGGTGATAAATATACAAGACACAGTCTTTTTTATTTTTTTTTATTTTTGCCAACGTTTCAACCCAAACGTCATCTTCAGTACTTGAGTACTGGAACACTCTCAGTGCTCAAACCACGCCCTGAAGATGACCAACATGTTTGGGTTGAAACGTTGGCAAAAATAAAAAAAATTAAAAAAGACTGCGTCCTGAATATTTATCACCCATGATATGTAGAACAGTCGACTAACTTCCTTCAAGTAGTAGACCATTGTATTCCTAAATACAATATCTTTAAATCGCAAGACATTATTAAGTATACCAAAAATAGTGGACTGTATCTTTGTTAATAATTGTTCAATTTATACGTTTTTTTTTTGTTTTTTTTTTGTTCTTTTTGTAAGTAATTTAGTAATCTTTCTAATTACCAGGGGTTCAAGAAAATGCATACTTTTAGAGTTATTCGCAAATAAAATTTCTTTTCCTTCATAACTTTTCCCCCAGAATTTTCGGGAGGATAGGACTATTTTTCCCATGTGAAGGAGAAGAATATCTGTAAAATGAGTGTTCAATCATTTGATGAAGAATTGACGAAGTTATGGCGTACCGACAAAAAAACACCTTTTAGAAATAAAATATACGACAGATGCAGATTGATAAGAATTCAATGAAGTAGGCAGTCAACATATGACAATGGAAGGTTACATTAATTTTTAATTATTATGTGTGAAACATGCCCTCTAGTTTTCCTTGACAATACACGGATTCCACAGACAGACACCGTTCACTACCTTGGTCTGACATCTGACAGAAAAATGACGTGGGGCCCACATATAATCAAAAAACGAAAAACGTTAAATCAAAGATTAAGAATTCTGAGTTCACTTCTTTCAAAAAATTCAAAACTAAAACTTAGACAGAAATTGAACACATACAATTACTTACTAAAACCGATTTGGACTTACGCATCACAGATATTTGGAACTGCTAAAAAGGCTCACTTAAACAAACTTCAAACCTTTCAAGCAAAATCATACAGAACAATTACAAAAGCACCTTGGTACGTTAGCAACATAACCTTACATACGGACCTCCATATGCCGACTATTAACGAACACATACGAACTCATTACAAACGATTCCATGACAACTTTCAATCACATCCTAATACACTTATAAATGACTTGGCCACTACGAATATGCCAGGTAACGTCTGTAGGAGACTGAAGAGGAGCTAGATGAGGGACCTCCTCGCCTAATGTAGATATCACGCCGAGTGAGGTGCCGCTGGGCACTGATCCTCCTCATGCCTTTCATGACATTATATTTAGCAATCGATCTCACATTCACTGGTTTTCATTACCATTATGACAGGTGTGAATAAAACACACATAAAAAAAATTGTATGTGATTTATTAAATGAGTTTTTATTGATTACGCTATTCAGTTTTTAATAAAATTAGAACCTTGGTGAAATTTTTTCGTATCGAATGATTTATAAACCTATAAAACATTCATTAAAACGCTCTTTAAACGATTATGAATTTATTTATTGAACAAATGTAAAATAAATAAAACCCACATGTGATCAACATAAGAGTTGAACAAAAGATATGAGCTTAGTCAACTGCAGACTAAGAAGCAATTTGGGCGACCTCAGACCGGAAGTCATGTTAAGAAAAGAGGAAGCCTTCAACAATAAAGGAAGCAGAGGCGGATCTTTACGTTTTGTTCATACCACTTCATGCGAGGATTTTTCCGGGTAGTAATATATTCCAAGCTATCTTTCTTCGCGTACCCTCGTACATTTCTACTACACATTATAACTCTACCTTTCATTGATTTTTTTTACTTTCACTTACGTATATATGTAATATATAGTAAGGGTAAGTATTGCGATCGAGAAAATTGTTGAATCAGAGTTTTCAACGGAAACACACGTTTTGGGGTTAACTGAGTACAAATAACGAAGTCCCGAAAAATGGTCTGTGGGTCTGTGTTTGTATGTTAGCTGTCTAGCTCAAAAACGAAAAATCCTACGAAACTGATATTACGTATTTAAGATAGGTATATGCCTTAGATGTGACAGCAACTTCTTCGTTAAAATCGGCTAACCGGAAGTGCCACTTTATATCAACGCTGAAACATATTTTCACATTTTTCTCAAAAACGTTTTGAGAAAAACGATTTTTATTAAACCCGGTGTATCATTGTATAATTAAATGGTCTTTAATATCAATTAGGTCTTATCAACATTGATGGCACATTACAGGGCTTAAATGCCCAATGTTCACATATGTCTTCCTCTAAAATAAGTTTAATATGGTTAATTTTAAAAAGTTAATCAGTTCACATTATTCAGAGTTACGAAAAAATGCTAAATATAACTTTTGAAAGAAATTGATAAGTTAATAAAGGAGAAAAAAATAAAAATGCTTTTCCAGGTCGAAAATCAAAAACCTGCTTTGCTATAGACTGTAGGGCCTAAACGAATGTACAGATTCCAATGAAACTTCGCTAAAGTCATTTTCTCGACACCCTTTAAATTTATTTATATAACATACTTCAAAGAAAGAAAGCTGGAAAAAAAGTTACGTGGGGTGGTAAAATTAAATTCAAATAACTCAAAAAGTATACACGTTTTTGGGGATATTGTATTGGTTTTTAAAAATTTTACGGAATTGCCTAAAAAATAAAAAAAAAATAAAAAAAATCGTTAAAATCGGACAATTAGGAGGAAAGATATGGTCTCTAGTTTTTTTTCGTATGTGCTGCTTCAAAGATTATATCTTTTGTTTCGGTTTTTGAATTTTTAATGTGTTACTTAGGTAATGCTAATTTTTTTAGTATACTTCTAAAAAAAAATCCATTTAGTCCATTGATTGGAATCACCTTTTATTTATTTTTCTTTGTAACTAGGAAGGTAATGTTACTTTAGATGTTGTTTGGAAAATAATAAACCATTGTGAAATAAATAGCAGCTATGTGAAATATTTAGCGAAAAAATGCTAAATATAACTTTTGAAAGAATTTGATATTTGAATAAAGGAGAAACAAATAAAAATGGTTATACAGGTCGAAAATGAATCTTCGGAAATACAAATCAGAAGATATACTTATAATAAATCGTTGGAAAGCAAAGAATTTTAGAAAAAAACAATATGTAATATAGAAAGTTGTACAAGGTAACAGAGAGTGGCGAAAAAATATAAATAATAATTTTTAAAAACTTATAATATTTAACGTAAATCACATGTTTTCAAGGAAATTGAATGAAATTACTAACAAAATGTAAACTTTAAAAAATATTTTTATGTTTGTAGAAAGTATCCACCTAATCAAGTAATATCATTTTTAAAATAACTATTTTATTGTACATGTGTGAAAGAAGAAGTAAAATATAAAATCATTTCATGGATGTATAAATCATGCGATTATAACCTTAAATACATTTACTGTAGTTTAGTGATTACAGATCTGATATTTTATTAAGATAATTAGGTATCAACATTCATTCCGAAAAATTGTCATGTAACTTTTTTGAAAATTAATTTAGTGAATAATTTGATAAATTTTCCCTTAGCGATATCCCAACAGAATCCACATACAATTAGTGCGACAACTTTTGACCTGTCTATGACAGACAATGCAAATTCCGTTTTAAAAAACTTTGCAATGGAAACTAACAGTTTAATAACTAATAGTCGTACAATCCATAATCAACGGATCGAACAATCCATAATCAATGAATCGTACAATCCATAATCAACCGGTGATATAATAAATAGAACTTTTGTTATTTTAATAGTACTTACGATTTGTTAGCTGCAATCTTTTAGCTTTAGCTCAGTTAAAAATACTGTTAAAAAATGTTATAATAGCCCAACATGGCCAGAAAATAATTTCTATTCAGAGTTGAGCAAAAATCAAAGAGTAAGTGAAAGTTTTGTGTTGCGCGCACCAGATTTTTTTCTATTGGATTCAAGATTTTTTTCTATTGTTTTCCACCTTAACCAGCCTTTACACATTATTCATAATGATTTACATAATGATGTATTTAGTAAATACTATTTACATATAATTCATCATTTAAATACTCAGATAATTTTTATTATCACTGTTGGGGCAAGGGTATTTCAAAATCGAAAATACTAACCTTTCCCCGGTTAGTGTCCTCAAAGGTGGGAATAATAATAGCAAAATTAAATGGAGGGAAAGAAGGGAAAAATGAGTGAATATGAAACCTGTAAACAAAGTTAAAACGCATACATATCAAATAATAAAGAAATAAAAATATTCAAAAAATCAATAATGAAAAATAAAAAATTTCCCTTTTGAACGTTTACAATATTTATTATTGAAAAAAATACATATACAATAGTTAAAAAACCAACAAACAATGGACAAAAGATTTTTAAAATGCACTGAAATAAATTAAAACATAAAATACAATATTTAGAGAAAATAAAAACAAATTAAGCATTATGAATAATATATAAATAAAATCGACTTCTAAAATTATAAATAAAACAAGAGAAAAATAACTGTTCAAAAAGAATAAAACTAATTTAGCGAAGAAAAATATTTAAATAAACTATAAATGTCTAAGTAACGGTGAGAGAAGAAAACGAAAAATATCCAAGTTGGTGCTATAATTCCAAAGAGGTTACCTTTATGTTCAGCTAATGTCAAAGGCAGTCGATGGTGGGGGAATCGATATGTATATCGATCTCGATCGATGACTGGCGATGACACTGCTGGGATCTTCAAAATGGCGCTAGGCTGACGCAGGTGAGGTGAGACGAGCCTGTAGCTGGTGAAATGGTATGGGTAAATGTCCAATACGTGGACCCAACATAAACAGAAGCTCGCTCCAGACTGCCGATGTAACAAAAATGCACTATAGTAGGCCGGTGGGGTTGAGTTGACTGGAGCGGCTTGTGGGAAGGTGAGAGATGTCCACTACATGGACCCAATAGCAACGAAAGATCGCTCCAGACTGACACTAGACTGCATCCCGGCAGTCCTATCGCAATATTTTGGTTGTTTTAATACCTAAACTCAGTATTAGTGCCGGGCTGGAGCGTGAACAAATGCGATAAAATCACGAGTGAAGCTAAATATATAAATACTATAAATTTAAATACATTTTAGGGACACTATTCCTCAGATTTTTACAAAAAAAAAAAAAAAATAAATAAACATTTCATTATTTACATTAAAAAAGGGGTAGTGAGAACAAATAATAATGAAAAAATAAATAAAGATAAGAGAATATGCGGCGTTAACAATAAATTCGGCTTTCTTTATTTTTTTCAACAGAAACATAGAGTTTATTTCAAAGAATAATTTAAAGTATTTTTTGTTTCTAAAAGTGTATATTTATGTTTTACCACTGTACATAGTTTTAAGGCTTCCACCGAACTCCTAACTTTGTTGTTTCTCCACATTTGAATTTAGCTTAATTTATTGTTTTCAGGATCGGTCGGAAGAAAGTGTTGCTGCTTTCTGGTCCCGTGAGCTTGCTGGCCTGGCTATTGGTCCTCACCACTCGCAATATAGTGGTCCTCTACGTCGTACGATGCATCAGCGGAATTGGAGTTGCGATCGCCTACGCCTGTGCTCCGATGTACATCGCCGAGATATCCGAGCCAAGGATACGAGGGGAGCTCTCAGGCCAATTCCAGACCATGTGGTACATCGGCATCCTCTACAGCTACATCACCGGCCACTACCTCAGCTACCAGAACTACGCCTATGCTTGTTGTGTCGGTCCTTTTATATTTGTCGCCTTTTTCTATCTCATGCCAGAGTCACCGTATTATGAGCTGATGGTTGACCGGCCAAAGAATGCAATCAAGGCACTCAGGTGGCTTAGATCAACCAAAGATGTTGATGAAGAGTTCCAAAGCATTAAAAAATCAGTGGAGCAGGATATGAAATGCAAAGGTGGTTGGCGTGACCTTTTTGCAACCAAAAAAGATACAAAAGCCTTTCTCATAGTACAAACTGTCTGCATCATAAAATACCTGAACGGGATACCGGCTGTATTAGCATATGCGACACAGATCTTCGCACAGTCGTCCAACGGAACTCTAAAGGATCACGAATTGACAATAGGTCTTGGAGTTTTACTTTGCATTACTACTTTCTGTTCTGCAATGATTTCAGACTCCGTCGGTAGAAGACCGCTCCTTATCTATTCTACATTGATTTCTGCTACTTTCAACATTTTCACGGGAACGTACTTATTCCTCAGCCATCAAGGATACGACGTCTCTGATTATTCCTGGGTGATGTACGTCTCCATAGCCGGATTCTGCATTGTGAGCAACATCGGTCTTGGACCACTTATGCTAACCATCCAGGCGGAGTACTTCCCATCGCACACGAGAGGCATCGGTGGTGGTATAACAGGGATTACGACTTCAGTTGCGGTCTTCATCAACTTAAAGCAGTATCAGACCGTGGAAGACTTCTTTGGTGTCTACGTGAACTTTTGGATTTTTGCACTGATCGGTTACTTGGGTACTATGTTTATGCACATAGTCTTGCCAGAGACAGCGGGGAAGAGTCTAGGCCAAATTCAGCAGAACTCAGGCAGCACGGAGACGATAGAAGATGCGGGGAAGATAGAGAACACGTTGAATACTGAAGAAAACTCTACGAAGGTGTAGTGAAGAGATCCAACCCAAAAACTCGATGCCATGTGTGCCTTCTTCGCGAAGAGTGCTTCTTTCTCGTTCCATGTACTGATCCTGCAGCTATCTCCATACAAATTATCACCGAAAAATCATATTGTACATTCCGTACCCTAAGTTATAAGTTTCTTGATTCATTTTTACTTTCTAAATTTTGTGGAAAGTAAATTGGAGTAATTTTTAAGAATTTAAAATTCTCAAATACTGCCTACATTATGTTTCTAATTGTAAATTAGTAATAGTTACTTTACGTTCTGATAAGTCTGATATTATGTGAATAATGTATTAATTGCATTTTTCAATCACAAAATGTTCCTATTTTTATTTTAATTATCTTCTTATAGTGGATAGTGAATATCCAAGCTTTATAGATGCGAAACAGCATATTAGTCAATAGCAGAGCTGTGACTATGTCCAGAAGTATTAATTATTTTTTTAAATCATTTTTATAATGATGTGAAGAAAAGTAATAAAATAATAATTAATTTTATATTGGTTTGTTTCCAAGCACCTCCTATCCATGATTTCCCATTTATATTTTTTTCATGATTGTGTGAATTTCAAAAGACTAACAATAAGCTTGGTGTTTCTATGCAAATATTAAAATAAATTATAAACATATTCAATACATTGGTTACATAAATATCTGCTCCGAGAACCACAAAATTTTCACTTAATACTGTATTTTCAGAAGATATTATTTCCTTATTGCATAATACAGCTTAGTACAATAATAAAAATAACTTAACATGATTAATTTAAATTGAAAAAAAAATTGTAAATAAATATATTTGTTTTTTCAAGCTTGAAAAAATTCTGTTTTTTCATATATTTTTAATGCATATTCCATTTAGTTCCTATGGGAATGATTATTTTTTATTCGTTAAAATAAAATTAGTAATTATTAACTAGAACAATTAAAAATCGTTCAATTTCCATATCACTCTATTACCTTCTACGATAATTTTTAATAATTTAGAGTATTTAATAATTTTTATAAAGAATTCCAAAGATAAAAAAATAGATCTACTTACCTTATTTCCAGAAATTTATTTCATTCATTTTCTTCTTAATCAAATTCATAGTTCATAATTATCCATTTTGTATTAATGTTAACAATATAACATCTTTAACTATTAATAATAAATTTAATTATAATTTAAATATAATTAAATTTATATAGCTTTTAAGCTGGTTGTTGAACGTCCGTTTAATATTAGATACCAGTGACGCGGTTGGAAGAGAAGCACTGGGATCTCTTGGAGTCCTGTCCTGGCTTCCACATTAAAGCATGACTCAAGTCCCCTGGGGGAATGTATATGTTGTATATAGGTGTGAATGTGTTTTATCTATTTTAATTTCATTTAGTTTCTCTCTAACATTTTTATTTTTTACTTATGTATGCTAGTTTTCTTACTTTACTTTCTACAACTCTTTTTCTTTTATCTTTATTTCAGTTATCATCTGTATGTATATATTGTGTGAATGTTTAATGTAGCCTTAATATTAATGCTCTCCAATGTGGCAGAATGAACAGTCGGTATGCAGTCTTATTGTTTATGTATTGACTTACTGCAACCAACTATCAACCAATACATACGTACTCTTTACTCACGATTTCATTTTCAACTACAGCGATAAAACAATTGCTATGTACCTGGACTTCGCGTTTCTACAGCGAGTAGGGGGTTCCAGGAACCGCATTTATTTCTATTTAATGTATTTAGTACTTATATTTGCATTTATTCCAGAAGGGAACCAATCGACTGAAAAATATATGAATTATGTATTTAAAGGTTAGATACCACAGACCCCCAACTGTAGTATCCTAGATTGATTAAAATACTTCTTATTGAATTTCTCTTTTCGAAAGGTATCATGTTTAAAAATTTACTATTTGTTGCTATAACAAATTGGTGGTATGCAAAGTAGATTGTAGAATTATTAAGATGGTCTAATAAAGAATATATTTACAAACTTAAACAAAATATATATGTACAATAATTATAAGAGGATCATATTAGAGGAGAATGATATTTTGCATATGCCTGATTGAGGTTACTAATGATCTATTGATTCTATTAATGATTTCCAACACAAGTTGACATATATAGGACTAAATGAGGGTTATGACTTAGCTGTTTCTTCATGGTGAGGGGGATTGCCGGTCTCTCTCTCTGTCTCTCTTCTCCTGGCTGCCTCCCTGGACTCTCCTACATTGACCCCCAGCTGCCTCTGTGGACTCTCCAGTCCATGTTGCTCTCTCTTTCTTTCTTCCTCAAGTGTCCACTTTCCAACCTTCCTATCATCCCTCTATCTTTTTGTAGTTTTCTTTCATTGGCTGAATTTTCGTAGCCTAAGGGATGACCAGGCCCCCAGACCGTACTCTGTTTCCTCTTTCTCGAAGGAGTTTTTCTTCAAACATGCACACGTTGTCGGTGCTTTGGTGTCCTTCCGACCTTAAGTGTTTCCTTAAGGTGTCCTTAAGTGATATATTGCCGCTTACAAAAGGTTGCACTCAACAGTGGGTCGCTACTCTCCCTTCAGGGAACCGCCATGTTTTAGCCCTTATGATTTAGACTTATTTATTCCTTTGAAATAATTAAATATATCCCTTTAGAATACAAAGAACAATAGACTTTTAAACGACATGGCCACAACTGACATGTCTATCAGGAGGTTATTAAAAATACGCTGGACGAGAGATATCTGAAAACTAGGAACATGTGCTACAGGGTACTACTTTTCTCATGCCTACAATGCGCACCAGCCCGGCAGTAATACTGAGTCTTAAGGATTATGACACCAAAATACTGCGATAAGACTGTCTGGAATTAGCCAGGAGCGAGCATTTGTTGATCTAGGGTATATGTTGGAGGGAGATAGACATTGCCCCTCACTCCACCAGTTGCTCCGGCTCAACTCACCTAGCTCCATTTCGTTCACAGCTGGATAGACATTGACATCCAGTTCGATATGCATATCGACCCTCTCCCCCCCTCCTCTACACCATCGACTGCTTGACATCAGCTGATACCTTGATGTAATCTCGTTGAGAGTAGAGATATCTATCTCCCACTAGAATATATTTTCATCTCTTCACCGCCACTGAAGAACATTAAAAATTAATTTTTCCCGAATAATATTTTATTATTTCATTTTGGATATTCAATTGAATTTTAAGTTAATTTTTCTCTTTTTCTTTCTTTTATCCGCATATGCTAGGCTTTTATGATTCATTCCGAGGTGCACCTCTCCATCTTCTAGTGATGTTGTTCTTAGTACTTTCTCTGGGGATAAGTTGAACAAACCCGTTCGAACTTCAAAGGCTTCAAATACTTCTCCTTGTATTAGTACTCTGCATTTAGATTCATTTGTACACGCCTTCGTCAATCACCCTAACTTGCCAGAGACACCCAGCTCAGACATGATCTTTGAAAGACAGTTTCTGTCCACGGAGTCATAGGCTGCTTTGAATTCGACAAATAAATAAGGCGTCCTAGTCTACTTCGTATCGCTTTTCGATTACTTGTTTTAGGAAGAATATCTGGTCTATAGTACTCCTTTCTCTATTGAATCCCGCTTGGTGGGCAGTTATTATGTTTTCTTAATATTAGCAGAATATAAGTCATTAACTTATAGGCAACTGGAATAAGTGCTATGTCTCTGCAATTACTTCATTGGTATACAGAGAACTTCTTAAGGACAGGACAGATCAGGCTATATATATATGTCGATCTGCCCTATAATTAAGAAGGGCTCTGTGTACTAATACATAATATATATATATATATATATATATATATATATATATATATATATATATATATATAATATTACAATGTTTTTATAATTCGACCTTTATATATTATAACTTAAGATTTCAATTACAGTCAAATGATAGGTCATGAAATATTAAAATATTTCATTTAAGTTATATAATATATATATATATATTGAACGGAGTGAAGTAGTGGGGATTTTTCTGCATATCTTAGCAGGCCAGTAGCACATGGGTTGGCAAATAAGCGAGTACTTCCGTTAGTCATGAGAGCAACCATCAGGCAGTACATCGCATCTGTGGCATGTAAGTACCTCAGAAATATATATTGGTTCACACATTTACTAGGTAAAAAATAAATACATAATAATGTATCCATCGTAAAAATTAATAATTAAAAACAAAATCGAATACAACTTTTTTTGTTTTAAATTTTATAAATGAATTTTATTACATTGTGTCACTAATAAGGACAGTAGTAATACTGACACAGAAGTTCATGCCCACTATATGTACAATAAATAAAAATGTATTAAATGGAATAACCGAAAAATAATACTAAAAATGAATATACGCATATATGAAAAAAAAAAAGAAACAAACTAATCCCTATAAAAAATAAAATAAAACATAAAATTCTATACGCCTTTATAGATTAAATATATGGTAATTTTTATTTTAGAACATAAATTATAAAGAAAAAAATCATATATTTATATTATTTACTTTGCCAAGGTTCGTGCGTATGTATGCATATGCGTATGTATGTTATATTTCTGCATAAAAATGTGCATACACCATGTAAAAGCATTATATATATGCATTATATTATGTAGCATATATGCATTAAATTGTTATTCAAATATATATATATATATATATATATATATATATATATATATATATATATATATATAAAAATAGCTTATTACAATATGTGTCGGCTAAAGATATTTAAAAGGAATGGTACTTAAACTATATTACAAAGAGAAAATTAAAAAAATAGATGATTAAATAAAATAAATAACAGTATCAGATAAGTGAACATTACCAAAATGTACTAAAAAAAAATATAATAAATAAATGAACATAAAAAAATACACAAATTATGTAGAGAACAAACAAATTTTACAAATCTGCAATTGAGTATCTACAAAATAAGGAATAAAATACATAAGTCTGAGCTACACTAAATCTAAAACATTATCATTTATTATTGATTGATATCCTCAAAAGTATATTAAAATAAAAGTTCTATGCTAGAATGTTATGTTCAAATTTTATGCTATTAATGAATTCTTTCAGCTGATTCTTGTATTTTTTTGTACAGTAGGGGTTCGGGAAGAGGCCATGTGTCCATATATTATATATATACTTTTGCTATTTTCTTTAATTTGATGGACTCCTTATCTTAAATTGGTTTCTTAAAAAACTGTTATAAAGGGACGATATTCTATTCTATTCTATATCAAAATAATTTTCATTACAGAGTGACTTGTGTTTATTCATACAGTGGCCACTAAAATGTGATAATTAAAGAGCCATTAATTAATATTCACCTTAATTGTAGTTCTTTTGTGAGAAAATAATTAGTTTTTCACTTATAGCTTTAATTATGAACAGCTAATATGTATTTATTCAAATTTATTATCGTAGGTAAAGTTAATTTATTTTTTCTTTAGAACTCGTTTCTTGAGAAATATTCTAATCTGTCTCAAAAGACATTTATAATAGTGTCCAGAGTTCACATTTACATTCTATGTACAATAAATAAAAATAAATTAAACAGAAAAATAATATATATATATAAGTTAAGCG